GACAGCCCCACTGAAGCTCCACCTGAAGTGGTGACCATAAACACCTAAAACTAGTGTAATGTCCACTCAAACTTACAAGCAAACCCTTCTCCCTCTGATATACCCACCACCTTACTTGTCTTCCAGTCTTTTGCTAGGACTGATGTTGGAGCAACATTAAATTGTCTTCAACACTGGAATTCAACAGCAAGTACAATAAATATTTAATTAGAAACACAGCCTTGACATTAGAGAATGTAGGACTAAAATGTTGCTGCTTGTTATAAACAAACAAAAAAAAAGCCTGCATAGTGAATGTCAAAATAACAATGACACTAAGGGGAAAAATGAGCCACTTAAAAACTGTGCATTGAAAAAAAAGCACAATAATAAATGAATGGCTCGAAGGCCTAAACCAGGTAGACTCAGTGCAGCAGGCTGGTGCCTAATTATACAGAAAGACCACAGCAATTTCACTAGAAGCCATAAGTAAAAAGACACAGAGGGAGAAAAAGCAAAGAAAATTGAAATGACAAAACTGCCAAGATGGGTTGGTTACTGATGTATTTGGGAGGTAGCTTGGAGTGTGGTGCTATGATAATAAATAAATAATACTATACTGCATTTATGCAGTGCCCTTCAGTGACAGACCAAGGTGCTTTGCCAGGTGAAACACATTGCAGCAGCAAAACACTGCTGGCACATCAATGCCTCTTCAACATTGATGTGAAATTGCCTCCAGTAGAACTGATTTAAATTCCATGGTATTTTAAAAAATTTGGAAAGTCATTATCACAGAAAATAAAAGAACCTACACTTGACAACTCCAAATTAGAATTAAAAAACATTCTAGGGAGAAAAAAAAAAGGCTCATAGGTGTCAGTCGCAGTAAGAGCCAAGATCAATGTTGATCAAAGAAAGACCAAATAGATGTTTACGCAGCTGTGCATGTAATGCTGTAATGAACCAATTTAATATAACAGTTTTCATGCTCCAGGTATTTCCTAGAGAATAGATGCAATAGCTTTAATCCATATAAAACACAACCACAAGGGTTCAGAGTCAGGCAACAGTGAAGCAGAAAGTAAAAAAGAAGTTGAAACTCTACTGCATAACAACCCACTGTCATTAGCATCTAACGGTTATAAAACAACGCCTTAAGCAGGAGTCCAGGGCCCACATGATTTCAAGTGGTTTACCAACAGCATCCACAGTTTTAGACTCTAGAATTCTTGATCTTACTCTTAAAAACGATTGCAATAAAAAAAAAAGGTAATGCCTGGCTTCAGCAGCATACTTACAATTATTTTTTCTGCTAAGCCGGGGGGTACAAACAATACCTCATGCTAAATGCTAAACCTCAAACAATCTCCAATGACACATTAAAACTTTCATTACATGAAGTCAAAACTGTTTTCAACAATACCGCCCATCTATTATTAAAGCAATTCTGGTAGAATTTTGTAATAGGTAGATATGAATCTCCAGGATGTATCAAAGCCCTCAGAAATATAAACCATCTAATAGATGAAAAGAAGTCCAAATGATTCTTTAAGGGGACAATTGCTTACCATCTGCGATTTAATTGAGGCCATGAGCTACGTGCCATGAACAAAGGCTGTCAGAGTACACTGTGGGTTGACCGAGGAGGAAAGGAAGAGAACTTTCAGAGTGCTTCAGGGCTTTGGAACTCAAGACAGGATGGATGAATCTTTCATTTAGTCTAATTAATATGCATCTGTTTTAACTGATCACTTTTGATTAGTGCTGCAGATTTCACTTTGTACTTTGACTGAAGAACTCTGGTAAATGCAAATGGAGGTGAAAAAGTGAATGACAAAGGTGATAAAAATGAAAAATGAATTTCAATAAACCAGGCAAAAAAAAAAAAAGATATTAACTAAAATCTTTTAAGTTTTGATGACACTATTGGCTCAACCAGTAAGCAAAAGGCAATTTAGGAAATCTCTTAAGCAGTTTTCCTCTTTTATTTTTGTTTCTCAAAGCTGCTTATTTTAAATGACACTGATAGCTCAAGAGACCAATACTTAGACTATGTGCTGTACATTATTCATATTGTCTAATAGAGCACTCAGCATCACACAGCACTATTTTTGCCCTTGGACTGGATGACTGAGATATCTGGAGGCAGAGGATAACAACTGGCTAAGAGATTTTGTTGCAAAAAAAAAAAAAAAACCATCCCTGCTAAGATGATAGAAGCCTGGGTGATTTAAATAACTTGGATGAATAATACAAATAGTGAGACATCAAATAATGGAACTTATGAATCACAGAATAAACTTAGCAGTTTACTTTTCACAAGTTATGTGCTGTACTTTTTTTTCTTCCTGTTGCTCAGACAAGCAGTAAAAATAAATTGAAACCTTTGGCATAGCAACTAACCAGCAACTACTTTAGACTCCTTAGAAACACAAATTTCACTAATTTTTGCCTACGTCTAACACACAGCTTACAATTGTACAACATTAAAATAATCTCCCTTACTTAAACTAGATCTAATTGTAAAAAAAAGTTAGAAATTTTTGTTCTATCTCAAGTTTCTGAGCATCAAAACGCAGACAATCCAAGAGGTGTTGACCACAAAGATCCTAACAGTAAAGAAATTAAGAAGTCTTTGATTAATATCTTTTAAAGCCATCTCCAAGCAAATCCACTCCCTGGTACTACCTCCAGAGATTCTCCACTACCTCACTTACAACTAGCTCATTTCTGGAGAAATTAGATTCATTAATATAACACAAGTAACTGCTAATACTTAAGCATTGTCAAGATGACAGAGATACTCCTTTGCTGATAGTAAAACAGAATTCCATTTTATCAAATGCTTCAAGTTTGTCCCATTTCCTTTGAATCTGAAAAGCATTGTGACTCTAATTCTGCCTGTACTTCATTCGTATTACTGCAGGAATATTATCATCCTACAGTGACACACAGAGCTAAGCTATTGTGTTTCCTCTATAAGCAATCATGTAGCTATTGCTTCCCCCGTATTTGGCACGTGAAAATACACATGAAATTTCAAAAGATATACATGTACACAAACCCAAACATCCCACGCCCTGGCTTGGATTCATTCCACCCACCCAAGGAAACAAAAGGAGACAGTCACTTCCAGCCCCCTCCACAGTGAGTAGAGGGAGGCAGGTCCTGAGAGCGATCAAACTCAAAGAGCAGACTTGGTCTGTGTTTCCCAGGACAAGTATCACACTTCAGTGCTGTAAACAGTGCACTTTTAAATCATGTTTACTCTCTCTTTACGTCAAAATTTCTGACACACACTTCATCAAACACACGATACAAAAGACTGATATAATACAAAGTAGAATTTCTGCTTATTCATGCGAATTTCAAGTGAACTTGTGCATCTGGCCTCTGAGCATGACATTAACCCTGCTGCCTAACTGTACACATGGTGTACAATATTCTTTAGGACATGAAATTTTTGCTGAGATTTAATGCATAACAGCATTTTCTTTGCCCAGGGTACACCCCATATTTTAACCATAGAAAGGGACTTAGGTGGGATCCACTCCCCTCAAATTAAGAGTGTTTCTCACACCTAGGAGGTTCTGCCGGGAACTCCAAACAGACCTGCTTCCTGATGGAGAGCCCTCAGAATTTTACTTTAACACACTAATGCCCCTTTCACGTATTTCATTTATTTTTAGGTTGTATCTGCCTGAAAGTTGGCTGAGACTGTTCAGTTTGATTTTGCCGAAGGCACTAGGTGGCACTGTGCTCTGTCTTTTGCTCACCCCCATCTTGCTAAAATCTGCCCAGGTTTCACGAATTTATATTATCTTCCCAAACACTGCTTGCATGTTAATGAAAAGATTCTTAGCATCCATCATTATGCCTTGCCACCCATCTCCAGGTTTCTATACATTAAAATAGCCAGTGCTGTTGAACTCAACTACATTTTTTAAATTGTTTGCCTGCCTAAAAATACCGTTTTCCTCCATTTGGCATTTTGAATGGAGAATTGTAACGCTGACTCCTCACCATCACAACAAAGGAAGCACAGATACCAAGCCCTGCAGAAAGATTCACCGGCACTCTTTTCTTCTAAGACTTCACCAGGTGATATTTTTACAATGCAGGATAGAATGTTAAAGTTGTAAATCTACAATTTTAGTTACTTGCTTCCATCCCTGCCATTAAGATTCTGCCTAAAAGCTTATGCAGTCCTTCCTGTCTTTTGTCGTTATTCTAATGTCCACACATAAATGGTGATGAGCAACGTGATGTGTATTTGTGCAGACAAATCTGGAGTAAGAAGTAGGTTTTGCTCAGAAGAGATTTTAAACCACGAATCGGTTTGCTCAACTACAAAGCAATCACATTAGAAGGAAAAGTGGATCTCCCATTTTCCAACCTATTACCCTGTTCTCTGGAACACATACAAATTTGGCATAACAACTTCTTTTGTAACCATAGTCTATCAATCCTTTTGAGATGTGTCTAAATTGAATTTTTCTTTCTTTGCAGGCTTGTGTATTATTTTAGCATAAAGTTAAAAGCCTTTGGAAACTAGATCTGTAAATATTTAATCAGTACGAGAAAGTTTTAGTCTGTAAAAGTATAAATATATATGTATAGCCCTACATTCTTCACACAGTGTAAAAATAATTCAAATGGAGTTTACCCCAGCAGACAATTTATGTTATTTGACATTTATCAGTATGTTCTTTTGATTTCACTCCATGTGCTTTGCCAAAGAATTTCAAGTCAAAATAGTATTCAGTCCCTAAGAATAAAGGCAACATCCCCATGAAGGACAGAGCATTCCTACCAAATGCACTACACACACACTTTCAGCTTGAGCTTCACACATCAGAACTCTGCACAATAGTTACTGTACAATCTCCATGCCTAAAAAAAAAGCCAAGCAGAAGCTAAAAGCAATGCTGAAACAGCTGCTACTCAAAACAAAATGTATGTAGCTTATCTGTCATAGTATAATAATACAAAGCAAATGGTTTAAACTTTGTACCTACCTGTGTCACTGAGCTGCTGGTTGATTTTATGAAAGTCACTGCCCCTTCCTCTTGCATCAGTCCCCTAGTCTTCTGTTCAGTGAATTTCAGCTGGAGTTGTCTTTCCTGAAGTGCACCTACAGCATGCAACATAAACTGAAAAAAAAAGAAAAAAACTTGTTGTAACAGGAAGTGCTCCTTTGGTACCACCCTGCTTTAGGAACTTTGCATACTATCCTAATTAGAGAAAGCATCTGTTTGCACACTACTTACTCCTAATTTACTTCTCTCAGAATTTCCTTCAGATCTAATGTTTACCTGTTATCAGTCATGGTTCCAACAGTTCCAAGTTAGTTATTTTTAACATTAACAAGATTCTGAAGCAAACGTGCTGAAATCTGGGTATGACAGTTGAAGGAAATTTAGCCAATGAAGCATGAACCAAAATGATACCGTTTGTTCATTTTCAGTCAGACATGAAAGTTCATTCCAGATGTTAAAACATAATATAAAATCAGGAAATGCTCATATATGAAATTGCTTCCTGAGAGGTACATGTTAAATGCTTCCACTGTACTGTTTTTTAAGCTCTGAAAGATGAAGAAGTATCATAATACAGTGTAGTGGCAGTCAATATTTCTGTTTTGCAGAAACACAGAACATGATTAGTTATAAAATGAGTGTTTCTGAAGTGCAGCTCTGGAAATTTAATTTCTGAAAGGCCTCTAGTTCAAAAGAGGAACACATACTTTACAATTCAAGGAAAATATTTCTGTTTAGTTTTTCTACTTTCCGTAATTATGTTTTTATTAAAAATTATATTACTAACAAATACTTACTAACTCATAGTTTAAAAAAATAAACTGCCAGCTGCAGTCTCACATTTTTATACTTTACCTATGCGTAGTGACTGGTTTTTTGTTATCATGATGCAAATGACTGTTGTGCCTGCTGGAGGGACTATGTACTCACTAGAACATACAAAGCAATGAGTGGAAATGCCAAGAGTGCCGAAATTCTGGAAGGCTCCACCACCTGGTGACTTTCTACAGGAGTCAGAAAACTGTAGGCACCCATTTCATGAAACCTTGACATTCCGCATCCTTCATTAACAGATTTACTAATTTTCCACTCCTCAGAAGGGATTTTTTTTTTAATTGGCACTTTTTTTTCTCCATTCTGTCTTACAGAAATTATTCCTAATTAATTAAAATGAAATTCTTAAGATGTGTGAGTTCATTAATTCCTTTAATGAGAAAGAACATTTTGGACCTTATTATTAGACTGTCATCAGTATCTGTTAGACAGTTAAATTAATAAAGTGATTATATTCAAATAACTCAGGCATTTGCATTTTATTTTTAACATTACATGTCTCCCTCACTTGCTGTAAGCCTGAGGAAGCTTTACTGGTCACGCAAAAGTAATCTGGGTTGATTTCAGCACACTGCATGCCTGGACCCCCAGGTGTATTTGGGGACAGAACAGCTATGGTCTAGGAGAGTTTCCTTCTCGTCTGCTGAAACCTCAAGGAATGATTCAAGTAAAACCGTACAGTACAGGCATCCCTTAAAAATAAGGAAAGCAGGGTCCCTTCCTTGTTAGAAAGCAAAAGGCTTGAAAGAAAAATAGAAAGTGGACACATTATATCCTCGAAAGAATCAGATAAAGTGGGACACAGCAATAATTTGCTACTGCACTTCACTTCCATACACTACTGACAGGCTGTGAAAAATATCCATTGGCTAAAAGCAATATACAAGGTGGAACTAGAACTCCAAATGTCTCCCGTTCTTGTGAAAAGCCATGGGTGTTTTGTAATGATCTCAACATGCAACTTGCTCAAAAGTGACACTCCAGCTATGCAGCACCTGTTTCAAGCTTTTCTAGGACACTTTCAAGCACATGAGAGACATACAACCTTAGTTCAAAAAGAAGTGCTACCACTTCGAAAATCTTAAGTCAGCCCGATGAAAAAGGGCTGGTATCAGTTAAAACACTAATTTACAAATCCTTTTAACTCACAAAGCCCAAATATGATTTTTAATAACAGGTTTATGCTTTACATATATCCCTGCAAACTGAAACATCAGTGCTGAAATTTTTTGCTCTCAAACATTTTTCTGTTGACAATGCAACCATCTTTTTCTCCTTTTCAGCATTTCAGAATATGTGAGGTTAACAAAGATGAAGTCCAGACAAAACTCCTCAGCTAAGTCGTGTGGATGCAGAGCATGCCTGCAGAGCTGGGAGCCAAAAGCCACAGGCAGGCAGGAAGGTCTTTGATGTAAACTAAGAGCAAAAAAGGCCATTTTCCCATTCTAACTGAACCTAACTAATATTCAAACACCATCTTGCTCTTCACAGGAGGTGGGCCAGTAACCCAATTCAAATATTTACCAAAAATTCATAAAATCACTACCTCATATTCTAAAACATTCTAAAATATATTGATGCTTCTCTATGCATTACGGCAGATCTCATCAGTTCAATGACAGATCAACAGTAAAAGATGAAAACTGTATGCATGCGTTGGCCTGTTCAGTTTTCCTCTCACTGAGAGATGCTACTTAAGTCGTTCATCCAATTATACATAGAAACAGAACGACCATAACACTGTATGTACAGCATTACATTTCAGATTTTAAAATGTTCTAATGCAGTACATTACATGTAATAATCCCACAGCTGGCAAGAGTGCTTAGTTTTCTTATTTTTATACATTATTAGACAAAATCTTCTCTACTGTTAGAAAAAGTAGTTTCTAGTGCTTAAGTAGCAAGATTCAGTCATGCATTCAGCAATGAATTCTTCGCATCCATCGTTGCATAATTTTTTGTTGTTGTTGTTTATGTGCAGCTTCTTTAAAATTATTTTTAACTATTCCGAATTTACTATTCTGTTTACTATTCAGAATGGAAAGGGTAAATTAAAGAGTACTTCAGTTGTCTTATGGACTGCTCATTATCAAGAAGAAAATACTTTACACCTTCCCAAACTGCCAGCATATTTGTATTATAACATTTTTAAGCTGACAGCAACTTCTCTCCAACTGCAATATTTAACTCCATATTATAATCTGACAGCATCTCTTCTCTGCCCAGTTGCTGCATTACCTACCACAGGAGTACAACTGCTGCATCACCTTGTTATCACCATCAACGGAATAGACAGTGACATGTTCCAACAGAGGGCAACACACTGCAAATAAAAGGTACAACACCGCCTTTTAGATGTGATACACATCAGCTATTAATGCTATGCATACTTTTTTCTAAGCAGACAAGTAATATGACAACCACAAGCAATATGCAAAGAAAGATCTTATTTCCCTGTTTCCAGAAGCTGTCTATAGGGAGTAATATGGAGTATCAGCTGCATGAGGAAATGGAAGACAAGAGAGAATACAAAGCTGATTGTCTTCTGTGTACAAAGCATCCGGTGGCATAGAAAAAGATATACTACAAGAATATAAATGAGGAGACTGTTGAGGACATCATTAATATCCACATAATATTCTTCCAGAGTGACAGACAAGATCTTTTTCGATCTTTTTACACAAACCATCTCTTAAGTCACACGAGTACCTTAGTTTGGCACTCTTGGCAACTGCAGCTCCCCGGCCGTCACCCAACTGTCACTGTCACAGCCTGCTCAGTGTGGAGTCCATCCCTCTTCTCTCTGCTCCCCACTTTCCTTCAGCTCCGAAGGCCTACAGTTTTCAGGTGATATGCACAGCGCTTTCATCAACGCTGCAGTTCTCTCTCTCAGTAGCAATGCTTCTACCTGCCTCAATCCCCAGCAAGCAGAAATGCTAGAAAACAGGTTCAGGATCACTGACATATTTTCTATAAGTTCTGCTAAGTTTTGCATATTCAGACTTCGTTATTCTATTTTCTCACCTTTCTTTCACTGAAATTATAAGAAATATTCTTACCAAAATTTCAATATAATGTTAAAATATGTTAAGCACAGTAAATTTCTCAGTAAAAACTCTGGTCATCTTCATTCTTCCTCATATTTTATTAACTTCAACTGTCTTATCTTCCAGACCAAAATGCTGCTCAAGCTAATAAGCACACACTTAAATAGCATATTGTAAAAGACTTGAATGACTACATGCCTAGATACCAAATCCAAATCAAAACTCCTGTGAAAGCCACAAGAAAATGCTTTAAAATAGCTATCAAGAATAAGAAATGCTTAGATAATGAGAGACTTACACAGCTAGATTAGGACTTTAAACATTCAAAAGAGATTGTTTTCTTTCTATGTATTAAAATCCTATTAGAAAGGAAATTAACAGAAAAGTACTAAGCTTGCAAAGTCTGAAAAGCAAAGAACTGCATACAAATCAGATCATTTGCATACAATGCAAAGCATACAAATCAGCATGAAGTGAGGGGGAACTCCTGTGGAATTCAACAAAAAGATGTGGTTATTTTTTTCTGACACAGCACGCTAAAATAGCCAGGAAGCAGAACTGGAATGTTCTTTGGGACTTTCTCCTTCCAAAGATCTCAGATAGAGATGTACAAAGCAAAAACAAAGAATGAAGAACTCTGAATTTTCTGACTAACAAAAGAAAAATAAAAACCAAAAACTATGCTCAGACAAGTATTCAAGGACGTTGGGAGCAGCAATAATGTCATGAGAGGAATTGCACACTTCAAGCTCAATTTCCCCATGACAGCAGAGTATGGTCCTTTGCCTCAGCATTCATTCTGTAACAGACTTGTGAAAATGTCTATGGAGGACAGCTTCCAGTTTTCCACAGAAGTATTTATATTGCCTTGTAACAGGCACCATACTCTTCCCACAGAAAACCTAAGGATTCAGTGGAGGTTAGAGCCTCCTCTGACTCAGTCTCTGCTTGTTAAAGCTCTCAATAGATTACTTTAGCACTTCAGCATTTTTCTTTCTGTAAAATAACAACAAGTAAAAGATTTTGCATAGGGCATCCTTTGAAAAATTCTGTACCATAGGGAGGGCTGTTCCACGTAGGATCTATGCTTCAGCAGTTCAACTGTTTCAGTTATTCAGAAAAAACTAATCCATTTAGGGTTTTACTTCAGAATCCCACACAGTTTTCTATCAGTATGTGGTGTGCTTAACTTGGATTATAGTGTGGTTTTAT